TCATCCTTTCCGACCTCTCAACGTTCTCGCTTCAGGTTCCTAATGAAGGCCGCTGAAGAGGTGCGAAGCGGAAATGCACGTCTAGCAGCAATATGCGGTTATTTGGCCAAGCCTGACACAGCACATTCAAAATTCAGCTCCTGGCAGACGTACTCGGATTCAGATATAGTACAAGACTTTGAACACGTAGCAAGAAAACAGGTGGGTCAAATGGACAACTGAAAAGCCATTAATTATCAAATTTGTGCGATGACTCGGAATTTGATCGTGGAGAAAAGCAAGCATTCATAACCTCCAGTTCAGGAACAAGGAGCCGACGGGATAGTTCTAAGACACAGCCCTCACGTGATCACAAAGGCGGAGTGAGGTTTCCCAACATATTTTCCTCACCCCTTCTTGAGAGATTATAAGGAGGGGTGCACCAACATACGTATAGTGCATAAGGCAGCGTTCAGACTTCGCGACGGCAGCGCCTCGGTCGCGCGTTCGGCGCGATCGATGCGCATGCTTTCGACTGCATCGATCGCGTCGAACGCGCGACCGAAGCGCTGCCGTCGCGAAGTCTGAACGCTGCCTAATCACTACGCTTGGACTCCGGATATAGGTTAGGAGATTGAAATGCCGCAGAAAGGAGAGAGTGGCGTTGCAAGTTGTATCGCATGCGCTGCAATCGCACCCGACCTTTATAAAGAACAAGAGTAGGAAAAAAGTGACACGAAAGCGCTGAAGTCCGATATCAGCTAGCTGAAAAAATATCGCGCACAGCGAGCATTCTTCTTACTGCTGTTTTTCTTCTCCCGGATCTCCTGACTAGCTGCTATTCCCTACGGCTGCCGAAGTGAAGACGCCCGGGCCTCTAATCCTGAACACCTCAAGACCTCCAGTCCTCAACACTCACACTTCAGAGTAATCTCACCTTCGGATTTTGTTGGGTGAAATCACCCCCGCCCCCACCAAACATGCGCTTCTTGATAACCTCTGAAGTTTTCTATCAGTCCGATTCCGGCTGTATCGGTCTTTCAATCTCATCCAGTCTGACAAAGCCGAATAAAAAATGTCATGGAAAATCAAACTCTCCGACACTTACTAGTTTCTGAGCTTTCTTGCATGAGCCAGACGTGCTTCCAAACATGCCCACCATTCTGCTCGGATGGCGCATGTGTGACGCGTCAATCGGGCAACCATTCATCCTAAATATTTTATCCTTTTCAATGGTTACATCACAGTTCTGAAAGTTTCAGGTCTTCCGTGCCTACGACACCTTGAAGCGGCATCAGCGTGAAACGTCAAGTGAAGAGGCATGGAATCGAGCTTCGATCGAGCTGTGCAAAGCATCCAGAGTAGGTGCACATCAGCTTATCGTATACAGTTTCTAACAATCGTATGCGTTGCTTTCAGATGCATGTACGCCTTTATATTGTCCGAACCTTCTTGGAAAAGGTCGCCACTGCTCCAGATGCCTCCCTACGATCGCCGCTCACAGATCTCACGCGACTATATGCTTTCGATTTAATTACTGCCAGTCAGGGAGAGTTTTTGAAGGTGAGCACCACAGGCGTTTCCATGCAAATCTAGAAGACCTGGGAAGGCCAGTTGCCGGGATTTGTTTACGAGGACTTTCAGGATGCTATCCTTATTGGGCCCCCCGACGCCAGATGTGTACCTCTGGTCTCGTGGGCTGGGTTATTGCTACCCTTGCTGCTTCCTTTCTGTGCCGAGAAAAACACGCCGGCAAAAGGTAGCAATGGAACGCCCTCCCAAACGATGACGAGTCTTTAACCTCCCAAGAATAATTTGTGTTTAGCACGTCGACCGATGCGGCGAGGGCAGCTACAGCACCTTTTGCTGCAAACGCCAAGCTTTCGTAAGAGAGCCAGTTTCGTGCGTTCAACTTCTCCCACTACATCTGGTCGCTTCCTCCTTCTGCAATATTTGGTAAAGAATGAGCCGCGTGCTGGTAGCCACGCTACAACCGACAACCCGTACTAAAATGCCCTTGCGTCAACAGCGAAAACAACTTAAAATACTTTACAAACAAAGGCCTTCTTATCAAGACCCAACCACTTGCACGCTGCAGGCGCATTATGGCTTGACTTGCTGGGAATACTCACTAAATCGGGCATTTCGCATCTCGGATGTCCTGACCTACTTCTACCATTAAGCGGCTGACCACTTCTTCACAATAGTATATTTGCAGTGCCACCATTACTAGTCGCGCGTTACTTTTCAGTATCTCACTAGACCAGATTGTGGTCTAGGCTTAAATTGTTAAAAGTGGTCTCATAGCGAGAGCTCACAAAGTCTTGGGAGGGGGCGGGCGGCCGGCGTAGGGGGGAGGCGTGGGGCAGAGGGCGCTGTCGTCAGTATAACATCGCCAAAATCTCTGCCCAAACTCGCCAGAGTGCGGGACCAAGATTGCATAGTCCTTATCCCTGTGCATGCCCTCGACACTATCCTGTATGCCCATTAGAAAGATAAGAAACCATGCCCAGAGGTAACCAGACATCGTTAATCACGCGCGGATTCCCTGGGAAATCCTTATTCTGGCTGTGCTGTTTCTATCCCCGGTAGGAATCCACCAACGGGCAGTGGGCCAGGACTTTGTCTATACGCTAAACGCAACCATTGCTATCACAAGAATGCTGAGTTGTGGGCAAAAGTCGGACCACGGACGGGATTCGAACCCGCATCTTCTGCTTACCGGGCAGTTGCGTTCCCTATTACGCTACCGGGGCCACTTTTGACCTCTCAGCTCAATGGCTATTTGTGCCATTGCCTTCGAGCACTCACACGTTCAACGTGATGAGCCGGTTAGCCGACTTTTGCCCACAACTCAGCATTCTTGTGATAACTTTCGGATCGCGCACTGCGGCGTTAAACAGCAGTTATCAAACAATAACAACCCTTGCTTTTTCACGACATATTCCTGTAACCTAATTTATCGAGCTGATCTAGGGAGGTTTCATGTCGGAAAGTCAAGCCGAAGGAGTCCGAGATGGTATTTATCGATGCCTGGAAAGGCTTCGACCAAACGCTGTCTCCTTGGTTGACAGCTGGGACTTCGACGATGCTGAGCTCCACTCGGTATGTTAAGTCTAACTCTGGAAGAGTACATATTGATCAGCTAAATCAGTACTGCCCCTTCATTAACAATTGAATGCTTTAAGGTTCTTGGACGTCGTGATGGAAATGTCTATCCAGCTCTTCTGGAATGGGCCCAGAAAGAGTCAGCTGAATAAGACCGAGGTAAATCTTGCAGATCCTGTGGCTTTTCACAAGACTTCTGACAACTTCAAAATTTTAGGTATTGCCGACGTTCGAGAAATACCTAGGACCTATGATGAAAGAGGGACGATCTAAGTTGTAGTTGTTCACTCTTTGATTTGTAAATAAACAGAAGGCTTCTTGTATTGTTCACATTATTCTAAATATTTTCAATTACTGTGTAGTGTTAATTAAGAAATGCGCGAAAGTCGTCGGCCAAGCAGGAAAATTGACCCACTACTCATCCCTCCACTGCCGCTTCAACGCCTTCAAGCCAAAGCTGTAACCAGAGGGAGTCTTCCTCGCCCCACCTCCACTTCAAGTGGAAACCGCGAAAGGCGCGGGTACTCCCTCACGATTAAACTATTAGAAAAGCCTCAATCGCCGCAGCTACCGACTACTGCGTACGAGCAGGACACCGCATCGGAGCTGTTCGGCTTGTTATGGGCATTCTGCATTTAGCTAGCTCCTTTTCCCTGTTAGTCTACATCAATTGCCCCTGGGATCTTAGGTCATAAGACCCCCCCCCCCTCTTGGAGGGGATTGGTACGACCCCCCTTCTGGCCGCGCCTCTGTCCCTACCTCATCGAATCGAAGCGTCCACAGCGACGAGCGGGGCGGGGAGCAGAAATCACAAAAACTCAACCAACGCTCCTGCAAAACGCCAAAACCCAAAAAATCAACTATCAAAATAAATTTTTCCCAGCCCAAATACGACCCCGCCTCTCTTGGCGACCAAATACGCCCCCTCCCTAAAATTGGATTTCCCAACAACGATTCCTCTTGCTTCAGAAGAAACATTCGTATATGCTAAGAGAGTGACAAAAAACAAAAGCCTTCGCGTCGCGAAAGATACCCTCCCCCTCACTCTGTTGTGGAATCTCAAGCGTTTATACCTCGGAGATGAGGAGGGCGTGGCTGCGCGCCCATTCTAAACGGGCTTAGAATACGTTTTTCGTAGGACATCTCATTCAAGGCAACTGACATCCTGTCCTGTGCTACACAAAGAGATGATAACAGTGCTCGCAAAAAGAAAAATTTCTTCTGGAGGCGCAGCCATTGCCACGTTCGAAAAGATTTACGGCCACGCTTGGCGCAGTTCCGCGATGGGGGGATGAGGGGGGGGGAGGCATTTTGCACTTTTACTGCTTCACTACTTCCGGTTTACAAGTCTCACTCTGGTGAAACTTGTGAACTCTTGTGAAGCTGGAGCAAGCTCGTCTAGCCACCATGCCAAAACGTGTCAACTCGAGAAAAGACTATCCAGATGGGTCGGCACATCGACCAAAATGCCATGGAAACCAAAATGCCCCCGTCGCCGAACTGCGCCGCCACGCCCTTCCCACCTCCGCGATATGGAGTGCCCAAAGTGCCCCGCATTCCAACATCATTAAACTACTTATCCATTTGTGCCCTTCGCCTAGGAGGGG